CTGCCAAAACACGTAATTTGAGTTCCAAATTCTCTCTTCTTTGAACCTAGGCATCTTGATGTACTCGTTCTGTGTTATTTTGTGCCAGATCTAGGTTAGTACGGTGGCATCCTCTATTGACCTTACTTTTCAACAAAGTCGTTGTCTTCGGAGATCTGAAGTAGATTGCAGTTACTCATCTGCGAGATAAGACCACCTAACAAATCCCCAATCAGTCAGCCTGGATTTCGTCTCGAGGACATACTGAGTCACATGCTGATGTAGTAAAAACTGACCTATGTTTCACCGCGGTGTTAGTGAGTTAGTCAGTAGACGCACAAAGTAGGCGGGCGACACTGAGCGTTGCTCAGCAGAATGATCTTTATATATGTGCAGGCTGTAGCTTACATATTGACAGGAATGGCAAGAGTTCGGTCGTCGATAAGCCTTCATTTTTGTTATTCTGCATGGATTTCTGACAGAAATCCATGCTGCTTCCATAGTTTTTCGTGTTATAATCTCTGCTTCGTATAATAAAAATGTACAATTTACATCAAAATCACCGTCATAATGTACTTCTATTCTATGCTTTCCTAACGATGGCAACGCACTCGCTCGCCCTTTATTCGCTAAGTGCTCCTTGATTATAACTTTCAACATTCTACCCGTTTCACCAATATATAGTGCGCCATAGAGGGAACTTCGGGAGCAACTGGCTTACAATCCTATTGAGAAGCCATGCTAATCGATCCTTGCGTCCGCCAACACAGCTTATTTTCGGACGTATCTCATAAGTAGTCGCAGACATGGAGTGGAGCTCGCTCGGTGTTATTTTGAGCGTCTTTACCAGGTATTAGACTGGGCAAACAGGATTCTCTAGCTTTAGCCTGCTAATAAGTTTCTTATTCTTACTGATCTTGCTACGCTAACCCAAACTTCATTCAGCTTTTTCATTGCATCTAATATTCCTTTTTAGTGGAGCGCTGGTATACTGTTACGTCAGAGAGATGCGTTTCCGCAATTTCTTTATCCAATATTTGCGGCATGACTACAAAGTTTTGTCGCTAATGGAAACTCGAATAGAGCGGTCTTTTATAGCTTCGCGCACTTCCCTAAAGCCTTGCCACTGTTCTCACGTCAAGGTTTTAACGCACATGCTTAAATCTACGTAAAACATTCAGAATTTCACTTGAGAGCATGCAAAATCTAGTATCAACAGAAAGCTGGTTTTCTGTAAAAGAGGCGAGTAAAGAGTAATGATAGTTGTTGTGTGACCGATGGCATAAGTTGTGGGTTACTTCCACGCTTAGCTACAACCCTTAACATGTCACGTCTGCGTGACATGTTAAGGATTGTAGCTAAGCGTGGAATTGTAGAATTCGTAGAATAGGATTGTAGAATTTGTTGTCTCTCCTTAATAACTGTCTTCGACATTTTCCTACACAACTTTATTATCTTCGGGTTGTTCTCGGTGAGATTCTTTATAGCACATTGTTGAAATTTAAAGCCAAAGAATTATTTTGTAAACGCTATTTACCTGTAAATGTTTGTAAGGAGATTGAGAGCGGATCGAAGCAGAGATTATAGCACGAAAAACGATGGAAGCAGCATGGATTTCTGTCAGAAATCCATGCAGAATAACAAAAATGAAGGCTTATCGACCACCGAACTCTTTCCATTCTTGTCAATATGTAAGCTACAGCCTGCACATATATAAAGATCATTTTGCTGAGCAACGCTCAGTGTCGCCCGTCTACTTTGTGCGTCTACTGACTAGCTCACTAACACCGCGGTGGAACATAGGTCAGTTTTTACTACATCAGCATGTGACTCAGTATGTCCTCGAGACGAAATCCAAGCTGACTGATGTTGGGGATTGGTTAGGTGGTCTTATCTCGCAGATGAGTCACTGCAATCTACTTCAGATCTCCGAAGACGACGACTTTGTTGAAAAGTAAGGTCAATGAACAATACCGCCGTATCAACCAGGGCCTGGCAGGAGGTGGCATTTCAGAATTATGAAAACGATATTCCTTTTGAAGCCAAAATTTCTTACGACTTCCCCTTTGACCCTATTTTTGACCCTCGTAAGTCCCTGACAAACAGATATACACAAATAATAAGACGGGTGGCCTCAGCGCTCATTATAGTAGTACTACATGGCTTTTCTGGTCCAGCCTCGATCATCGTTTGAGGGGATGGCCAAAAACCACTCTTTGTCCTTCTACCTTCCTGTCCTTTTGGGCCATATTCTCCACCCCTTTTCTGCAGTATCAATACTGCACTGCAGCCCTCCCCTTACCCTCCTGCACGAGCTTACCTCAGAAAGGCTTATTGGAGTGACACGTTCTAATTTTAAAGTGGAAATGAACTTCACTGCACTGTTCACACCAAAATGTGCAAGCAGTTTGTTAGCGACTGGTAAGTGTTCACTTTCCTTAAGGTGTCAAAAATCATTAAATCGATAGAAGAATTCCAGAATTGCTTCGAAGGGTAGCTTAAAACCATCTACCGAGGCCGAAATTGCGATTGGAGACCGCTTTCCGAGGCCGATCATAACGCTGTGAACCTTTGGGGCTGTATCGAAGCGGTACCTTGGTGGTTTTGGAAGCGGATGTGAACATATAGTAAGACTCTCGACCTAGTCCACATTTATGTAAAGAACTCCAGGAAATTATGTGGAGGGAAATAGGGAGCCACTCCAGGTTGCTCTCAGGTGGCGCGGTAGCCACCTAATTTCGAAAAATACTTACTAATTTTTAAATTCACATAAGTTTCTCATAATTCTTCATAGTTTTTTGTGCTTATGGTCCTCCAACTACACAGCAAATTTGGTGCCATATCGTTACTTGTGCATTGAAAACGAGCCTATTTTGTTATTTTCCTCTTGCAAGAATTGCGATTTGAATTCCCGCCTGCGGGCAGGCTAGCGAATAGCACAGAATCTTCACATTGCTGGAATCTAAGTTCATAGGATAGTAGCATCAACAAAGAATGATGAATTTGGGCTCCGCCCGGACCCTCTTTGCTTTTTCGGGCCAAAAACTATATCCAGCTTGTGAAAACGCAACCCCCGCCGGGCTCTGGTACCAACCTAGATCTGGCACAAAATAACATAGAATGAGTACATCAAGATGCCCAGGTTCAAAGAAGAGATAATTTGGAATTTAAATCACATGTTTCGGCGACTACATGCCTTCACAACTTCATGAATAGTTTGACATATCATACCGCTCATAACTCGTCGAAAAAGTCGCCCTTCCGCCGCAGTACAAGAAAGCAGCGGAGTGCGCCGGAGTGCGCCACAGTTCGGCGATTTTTTTGACGAATTATGAGCGGTATTGTATGAAAAATAAAGAATATGGCGCAAACTTGCTCTTGCAGTGCATTAGCACTTCTTCAAATCGACTTCACTCGAACAGCGCTTGACTCTGCGAAGAAATGCTGAGACCAATCGTATAAAAATGCATTAGAGGGAAAGAATCGAGTTTTCTGCTTTATGCGGATGCTTTTGTCTTTTTTTGAATTTTGTCGCCATGCTATTTCCGAACGTCTCATGAAATTATTGATCCTTTGTCAAATTGTTTGCTGGGTCGTTAACTTTTCGAATTGATGCCTCAAGCTTTGAACTCTTTACCATAGTTTAGCAATGCTTCGGGACGGCTTTTGTTTTTTTTAGAGTTTCATCTCCATGCCATTTCCGAACGTTTCACAAAATCAATGATGCTTTGTCATTTTTGTTGCTGGGTCGTTAACTTTTCGAATTGATGTCCTGAGGCTTTGATCTCTTTTCCATGGTTTAGCAATGCTTCGGGGCGCCAATTTCGGCAATACATCAAAGCAATTACCAACTTTTTATATCAAAAATAAAGATATGCTGCGATTTTATCGAAGCTGCTCACATAAATAGCCGCTTGAGGCGCATTCTTTACTGCACGCTTTCGTTTCTTGGACGGTTTTTTGTTTCAATCAATTTTGCAAAAAAGAATAAGTTTAGTCTACTAGTCTTCCATAGCTGAAAAGGAGATTGTTACCAGTGATGCTCTCTCATAGATCAGATTGTTTGAGCGATGCAAGCTCTACAAGGGGGTATCAAAGCACCCGCGCAAAGATTGATTCCTGCTAAGTTTGAACTCACAATCGAACGTCTAAAGACCCACCCACTTCCAATCTGTTCACTGTAGACTCTCCTAGTCAAATATTTTCGAAAACAATCACTGTATTTTTTCTTGTAGCTAGAGTACGAAAGAGAAAGTGATTTAAAAATGCGAAAAAGTGTCCTTTTTGGTTTCTACCTCGCATTTCATACTTCTTGAAAACAGCGCTTGTAAAAAACTGGAATTTTCTAGTCATGCTTGCAAAGATAGGTTTACTTATTCGGGAGCAGGCCAACATTGCTTTGCCTACATTCCATTTCTCATATTTTTGATACATGGCTACGAGAAGAATACGATATGTTTCCATCGCTCTATAAAGAGTATAGGTAGAGTAAAATCTGAGGGTGGTAAACTTCATACTTCAATATTTCAATACCGTATTTTCAGCTTCGTAGAAACCATCGTGCAAATGTTTTAAGGATATCTTAAGCGCCAAGCATATATCATGCGATTCATCGCCTCGCGATTCCCATAACAAGACAACTGTTACGAGTTCATTGCGTGCTGATCATCTTGCACTTCTTTTGTGATAGTGTGTCGCGTTAGTGGTGTCGGAAAACTAAAACTATCACGACCAAAATGCAAGATACTCTACATGCAATGAACTCGTAAGTTGTCGTATTGTGATCGCGACTCGCGAGGCGATGAAATCGCGTGATGTATGTGATGTATGACCGGCCCTTTAGGAGCTCTGGTTTTTTTTAATTTGTTCTTCCGTGGTAGCATGAGGAACCCGCAGTAACAGAGTGCAACATCATGCAATCACAGCCAAGTTTGGTAAATAAGTTGGTGCGCCAAGTCGTTAAAACACTGACTTACGTGGAGTTTGTCGAGCTTAGACCATTACTTATAATATGGCAATGAAAGGTGTAAATGCAGAATGCGAGTACTAGTCTTCTTGTACCTTCTCCCATTATGCTACTCGTGGCCGTGGGATAGACTCGTGGGGTGGGTACAGTCAGCTGGGGCATCAGTGACATTTCGCTGTAACGGTAAACCGTTCACTAATGCGAGAGTAACAATGATGGACGCGGAGCCTTGTGAGTCAGAACTGCAAAGTTTAACTCATTTCAAATTTTAATTTAGTACCTGGTGATGACGATGCGATAGGTGGATCCGTCGAATCGGACAAATTTGGAAAAGCTAAAGTTGAAGGCAGTGCTAGAGAGATAAGTCAAATCGAACCATACCTCTTCATCGAGCATGATTGCATTGGGGTACGCTCGTTCCCTCTTTGCCAATGATTAGTTAGATTTCCAGAAGAAGTCGGAGTAGCATACTCATAAGATAACAAAAATAAGGCAAAAATGAAAATGTCTCCTTTTCGGTGTTTCACGTCACATTTCATACTTTTTGAAAACAGCGTTTGTAAAAAACTGAAAATTTCTAGACATGCTTGCAAAAGGATTTACTTATGCGGGTGCAGGCCAACATTGCTTTCATCATTCCCGTTCTCATTCAATGCTAATTTGTTAAAACAATAAAATGTTGTTTAGATGCCATGGCGTTTCTGCCTGTTCTTGCCACCAGAGTTTGTAAACTATGGCCCTAAAGCAAAGAAATACTGGCATATCAAAGTGGAGCTCTCCGATTTTGATTGGATGTTCAAAAAAAGATGCCGATTTGACATATACCCGGGTGATCCAATTCCTTCAAGATGATTTGTGCCTGGTATTTAAGACATGTGTTGATGTCAGCCGTATCCACATAAACAAGTTTCAAAGATACATTTGTTCTGAGAGATATACGCGTCTCTATTTTTCCCTTTGTCATTCCTCTAAGCTACACAAGCTTAGTTATGAAATCCTTCATGATCTTGATTTTTGCCTTTAGATTATCTAGACTAGAATGGAAAGAAGAAGAAAGAAAAAAGAAATGCTGCGTCAAACAAAATAAGGCATGAGTGCAAGGAAAACCAAACATTAACTTACTCCATATTCTTCACCTCAAATTTGCTCTCACTTCCGTTCCTGAAACAGTGCGTACTAAAATCACCTTTTTTGGCTTAACGCTTTGAAGACTCTATCATAAAAATGTCTCACGTAACGTTCTTATGAAGCGCATGGATTTTGGCTGTGAACCCACATGTACTGCGTTACTGTCTTATCACCGCTCTTTCTGCGTAAACAATGCTATTGAGCTTCGAAATTTTACAGTGGATCGCAGATTGGCAATGAATGGGCAGAGCCTCCAAGTCCACTGTAGCCCAAACCTTACCTGCCACTTCATGGCTTAAGTCTAAGGGCCGCATGCACTAACATGGCCGCGGGGAGGGGATCACAGCTTAAAAGAAAGCTTCATATTTCGAAACTCCAGATACCTGGATTTCTCGTTGTGTACCTATCCGTAAGTATTCCTACTATCCTTCACTATGAACATGTTGGACAGGAGCGAGAAGCTGTACAAACCGCATTTTCCAGCTTTTGTATGATCCCTGATGATCCCCGGCGCTTTTCTCGAAAGTCATTTCTCTTTCTCCGAAGTTAATGAAAAACCTCCAAGTTGTGCAGAATATCTAACCCGACAGTGCTAAGCATGTTGCTGATAAGAACAAATGATGTTTTGAAGTCATGAAATCTTCGATGATCCACAGGTCGAAATTTGGGGTTTGCCGAAAAAATTCCAGAAATACATTTGTTCTCATCAGCAACATATTTAGCACTATTGCGTTAGATGTTCAGTACAACTTTGGAAGGTTTTCGTTAATTCCGGAGGAAGAAAAATGACTTTGAAGAATAGATGTTCGTCCCCCAGGGATCATCAGGGAATCCTTCAAAAAGCTGGGAAATGCGGCTTGTAGAGCTTCTCGCTTCTGCTCAATATGTTCATAGTAAAGGATGGTGGGAGTACTTACGGATAGGTAGACAGCGTGAAATCCAGATATCCGGAGCTTCAGGATATGAAGCTTTCTTCTGAAGCTGCGATCCCCTCCCCAGCGGAAATGTTAGTGCATGCGGCTTTAAGGGCTAAACTGTGCGGGGGGGGGGGGGGTCCACTACCCAACACTCCGAGGAGGGTTCATTTTGAAGATCCACTTCCTTCAAGATGATTTGTGCCTGGTATTTTAGGCGTCCTGGCTAGTGCAATTTCAGAAAATATGAGGTTTTTGTCAAAACTGGCAAATAAGGGAAGATCGTCGTTTTCATAACAGATCAACGGGACGAATCCAAAAAATATGTAAAGGGTATCATTCGGTGGAGCAAGCAAGCTCTACAAGATGACATCTGAACATTGGCTTGAGTTATGGTTTACCCAAAGTTCGAAACTCAAACATAAGAGCAACTCATAGTATCAAAGACCGGATTTTTTGCCCCAAAAAAATCCCACAAGGCAGTGTGTTACCAAAATTTAGTTTTCGAGATTTTTGCATATCGCAAGCCTCTTCGTCCCTCTCTAACTCAATGCGGATCCAAAAACGTATGAAAACAAAACTCCCGTATCTTGAAAGTTCCGTGGAAGCAACGTGGACGAGTTGCGCCTTCTCAGCTTGGCTTTCGCCACAGTGGCAGCGACACCATAAAAATGGAGCCAAATGGAAAGAAATGTTAAGCATAAGGAGGAAACCTGGAACGATATTCGTGCAGGCCGCGTATTGCGTTCCACTTTGAGGGCAAATTTCTCGGCGTAGAAGCCCCTAATCGAGTGGGACTTGGTCCGGTCGCCTGTTCAGGCGGTCCTCTAACGAAATATATGATGACCCGCATTCCCCATTCTGGTGAAACACCGCCCATAAGCATAAATTTGGGCCTTCGATATGCTTAATTCATGAGAAATACCAATTCCAGTTGAAAAAAAAACCGAAAAAGCGATGCTTTTCTTTCCAGCCTGATATTTGCCATAGCCTAACTACTGCTGTTGTTCGGAGCGAGGGGATCTGGAAGCTCCAATTTAACCCTTGTAGCCATTTAAGTTTGTAGGTTCCGGTAAAGGTCCAATACACTCTCACACATGATTAATCTAATCCTCTGGAATCAGTAAATTTTCAGGGGCTGCTTGTAACAAGTTCAAAATCCCTTGTTTCATATTTATGAGTGCATTTGGGGATGTAGACAGAGCCCTGTCAGGCGATTAAAATGAGACTAGCTTTGCAATAACAAATTATTCGTCTTTGTAGTAGCTCAAAACTTGTTGACGTGGATCCTAATTACGGAAAACGGGCAGATGTAATGATTCAAAAGTACCACCTGGGTAGAATAATCAATACTGACAAAATGACAAAGCTACGGATGTCGTAGATTTGATTGAATGAATAGCGAATTTGAACATGGGATGCAATTATTTTGGCTCTAGCCGGTCAACATAGTAGGCAAGCTTTGCACGAGGTGACCCTAGCAACTCCTAACGTAAAAAGTCCCCTTGACTACACAGCAGCTACGACATGCCCTATGGAGTGCTTACAAAAAAAGAGAATAACGATTTAGCACTAAAAACCATTTCAAAACTTGAGAAAAAAAACGTTCTACATGGTTTGCTTTGGTGGCATGCTGTGTCGACCGCGCACCGCTGCGTGCTTGGAACGGCAGAGCTGAAGCTTTTGAAAATTTTGGGGCTGTAACCAAGTGGAGAGGAGGGGGTTTAAGGCGGAAGAACGCGTAGACTGATAAGAGGATTTAGAATTACGTAAAAAGTTTGAAAAAACTATGTGAGGAGACTCAAAACCTATCTATTGAAAATAAATTATTAACAAATTATGATTTTTCTTTTGACGACCACCTTAGGTGGCCGTTCAGCTGGCCGTAAAGCTGGCTAACTCCAAAAAAAGTTCGCAACAGATTCACCCCACACAAGTTCTATACAACTTTTCATAAATGGTTTTAACTCTCTAGTGCACACCTACGCACTAAGTTTGATTCCATGCCTTTGCGTTTTGGTTGTAAGGAAGGCTTCTGTTTGATTGGCTGATCTTGAGTTCCTGCGCAGCACGGGAACGTGTCAAAACATGTTATCGAGGGCTTGGTCCTGACTTGTAAGCAGGGTAAAGCGGGGGGTGCGGGACGCCACATCGGGGGGTCGGGGGGGGGGCCGTAAGGGTGGGGGGAGGTAGGTGAGGGGGGGGGGTCGTATCGACCCAAGGTTAAAAGCGGTTTTTAAGGGGGAAAGCACTGCAACAAATTTTTAGATGTGCCACGCTCTTTCCCAACTGCCTCTGACAACCCAGCCAATATATGTGAGAGAAATACAATGGACTCTTGGTTGGGGTTCGAGCTGTAATTTCAATAGAATTTCTCCAAAAAGCAGCTTTTGCAGTTAGTTGATGGATGAAGGTGTGACGATCGACGAGTGATGTCTGGGAACGTGAATTATTCTGTCAATATAAAACACGATTCCTTAAATGACTCGTGTCAAAAAAGAAGAACACTACGCATATTGTTCTTGTAGTTTCTATGCAAAATGTATATCTGAAAATATATTTATCCGTTGCATACGTCTGATAAAATGAATAGTGTTGTATCAAATGATTTGTGGTACAGCAGATGTGAAGATTTTCAGTTTGTTCCCTCAGAAGATTCGATTGAGAAAATACCCATCTTAGCAAATTCTTCTTGCAACAGTCGGTTCTGAACTGAAGTGTTGAGAGCCGGTAGGAGAACATGAATGGCCGCAAAATACGCATTTACTATCAGATGTTGGCTTTCATTCATTTGAAAAGGTTTGAAAAGAACGGGGTTGTTCCGTTGGTTTCAGGCCTTCTGGCATCCTGTGTGCGCAATGGCCGCAACCGCGCCCGACTCCCGTAATCCTGCAGAGCCCTATACGCACCCACTGGCTCTAGATGCTGAGAAAGCGGATTCTTCTGAAATGCGCGTTCAACTATGTCAGTTCAGTTGACTTCAAACTGTATCGATACTGTTTTAGGCATGATTTACAGAGCGCGTGACCTATCGACAAGAACGTGAGCGAAATCCACGGCTTACATCTTATGAGCACGTTTTTTTCGTTAGTCAAAGTACCTGTACTACTTCATGACTCTATCAATGGGATCACCAAAACTGCATCGGATCCCACATGTTCTACGGATATGACCTCCAATGTGTCTTTACCTAATTTTAGATAGGTCAAGTAATTGTTCTGCATGTAATTTGTGACCTTTTGTCAATTTGCTGATAGTACATTTTAGTCATAGAATGCGTATCCTGTACTTATTTCACCTCATCTTATTGCCTCCAAGAGTCTTAGTCTAGCATCAACCAAAGCTTTCACATGTCCGGGTCGAATTGCACATTGTTCTTGTTCATTCTGTGCAAATATGTAAGTACGCGATACTCAGTTGTTTGTCGCAATAAAAGGTGATACTTTGTATTCTGCGTCCTCCACATTAATTTTGTTAGCTTGTCTTTGAAAATTGGTGTAAGTTTTTCTATCCTTCTTGATCGAGTCTTGAGGAGCAAATAAGTTGGGAGTTCGGGGGGGGGGGGGGAGTAGAGAATGGGGAGGGGGTGGTGTCGAGGTCCGGCTCAAGGAAGGGGGGGGGGGGGGGAGGTCGTATTCGACGATCGTGTGCCACACCCTCCGCTTTACCCTGCTTGTAAGCGGTGAGGAACTCTGGGCGGACATTTGAACGTATTCAGTTCCACTGTTTTATTCACTACCCCGCAAAAGCGATATCTCCTCTGCATGTCATTCTCAAAACGATCCTACTATAATAACGCGCTAAGGCCGTCTGTTTTTTTGTGTGTGTGTCTGTCTGTAAATCTGTCTGTCACGAAATTCGGAGGAAGAGTTT